ATACGGGAATGCCAGTGATCCCATGCCTGGCTGCCCCTGTGATTGTCTGGGCATTTGCATATGACAGGCTTAATAGTAACTCCCAGTCAGCAGGGCAGCCTGCAGTGCTCTTGCTATGTTCCTGCAGTCTATGCACGGGATGGTGGTCTGCCCCCCAACCTCTCCAAGGCAACTGTGCGGATAACAGTAGGGGATGAGAATGACCATGCACCACACCTAGAGAGCGAGTCCTGCTCTGTGGAGGTCCCTGAGAACCAAAGCCGTGTGGCACTCTATACCCTGCGGGCCACCGATCCTGATGGAGGCGAAAACGGGCGCTTGGAATACTACGTGGCAGGTGAGGTGCACAGGGAGCTCTGTAGCTTCTTTCTTGGCAGTAGGTAAGGGCTTTTCACCCTGGGTTGTCCATGGCTCTGGGAAGCATCACCTGTGGCAGTTCCTGTTCCACTTCAGTTCTCTCCTGCTTCAAACCACATGTAGTGGCTGCTCAGCCCTCTAGTTTCTCTGGCCCCAGTAAAGAGCACCCCAAGATCTGGACAGGCTGCACTTACCCATTCCCCAGGCTCTCATCTCATTCCCCAGGCTTGGACTAGTTCCATACCTCTCTTGGCTGCTCTGACCTGTTGAATTTACAGGTTGCTGAGATCTCTTTGCTGTTATCATGCCATGCATTATCTGGGGGCTCCCTGTGGTAACAGCACTGGCCTGTAAAGTGCTGGAGCCAGTTCTTACAGACACATCCACCCACAGAGCTGAACCAAGGAGGTTCAATCCACTGAGGCCTTACAGAGAACAGCTCACTCTACCTTCCCTTCCAGGCCACAGTGGGATGGACTTCATGCTCTCCTCTCTGGGCAGCATAGGGCAGGTCCTTCCTTGAACCAGTTATAGTCATGCTGTCTTGTTATTCCCTCTCTTCTTTTCCAGATGGAGATCCTGGGCAGGATTTCAGCCTAGACCCAGTCTCCGGTGTCCTCTCCACTGCACATGCCCTTGACCGGGAGCAAGTTGCTTCCTACAGCCTCACAGTGGTGGTGCAAGACCATGGCACCCCACCGCTCAGTGCCACCATGTCAGTGAATGTGCAGGTGTTGGACCTAAATGACAACGCACCTGGTTTTGCTCAGACCACCTATGTGGTGGAGGTGCCAGAGGACTTGCCTGTTGGTGCCCTGGTGCTGGAGCTGGTGGCTGAGGACCCTGACGAGGGCACCAATGGGCAGGTCTCTTACTACCTGGGCAATGAGTCACTTGGCATGTTCCAGGTTGAGCCGCAGAGTGGGCGCATCAGAAGTGCCCAGGCACTGGACCGGGAACGCCACTCCAGTTACAGCTTCCTGGCCAAGGCTGTGGACTCAGCACCATGGGAACCCAAGAGTGCAGCTGTGCGTGTCACGGTCACGGTGCGAGATGTCAATGACCACACCCCTGCCTTCCTGCACAGCCCACTCACTGTCAACTTGTCCCGCCACACACCGCTCAAGCAGGTTGTGGCCACCATGAGGGCAGAGGACAGGGATGCAGGTGCCAATGCCTCCATCCTGTATCGCCTTGCCACCCCCAACTCTGCCTTCGCAATCAACTCCTACACAGGGGATATCCAACTGCTGCAGCCCCTGGGCTCACTCAGCCAACGCCAGCGCACGCTTTTCATCCTGGCCACAGACCTAGGACAACCAGCACTCTCCTCTACCGGTGTGGTGGTTATCCATTTGCAGGAAGAGCCCTACCAGGGGCTGCGGTTTCCCCGGAGCACCAGTGATGTGGCCCTGCCAGAAAATGCTGCCCCAGGTATCAGCTGGGCAGAGTGATCAGCAAGTGCTGGGATGAAATGGGACAGGACAAGAGGGGAGGTGGCTGCTGGGCTGGCAAAGCTGGGGGAAACTCAAACCAAGGAGCACTGCAGGGACTTGGGAAGCCCCATTACGTTTTGGGTAGACTCAAGGGACTACAGGGTCTGACTGGTGCCCAGGCTGTTCAGGGTGGTAATCACTGTGGGTTTCCCTCAGGGTGTTCAGATCACTGCAGGCAGTCACAGGTGCCCAGTTGCTCATGGACGGTCTCCAGGGGTCACAGTGAGACCATAGAGGGGGCATGGACAGGCCCCACGAATCCTCGCTCCCAGCCCAAAGTTGCCACTAGATCTCACTTCCTGTGGCAGCAGTGTCCTCAGGCAGAGCTGTGTTCCTGTGGTACAGCACGTGCTGCCCACACACCACCCTGACCCTCTCTGCCACCTGCCCTGGGACTTTGCTACCCCTTCACAGTGTTTCACTCTCTTCCAGGCACTGCCGTGGCAAGCATCCAAGCTATGCACATGGGGGGCTCTTCTGGGCACATCACATACAGCATCATCAGCGGCAACGAGAAGAATGCTTTCCTTATCCAGCCTAGTTCAGGTACAGCACCAAGACCACCCGGGGAAGCAGCACAGCCACCTGTGCTCTGCCAATGCCTGCTCAGCTGTCACAAGGCTCAGAGCCTCCCCAAAGGCACAGGAACACAGTCCACACCTCTATACCAGTAAACTAAATAATGTTAGTATTTGGACATGGACACTAACCTGTCATTGTCCAGAGGTTGTTGGCAAGGCTCCCAGTACAGTTTTGGTCCCTCCTAACTGGACCTTTCCCCAAAAACTCCTCAGCCCAGTTCAGGAGTTAGCAGAGGCCAGGACCATCCCTAAGATGCAATCTGGGTGCAGCCCCTCCCTTAGATGGCAAATTCAATTAAATGACATATCCTATGTTGGGGCCTCAGAGCCAGGCGCCTGGACTGCCATGCTTTATTCTCTGGTGTGCCTGTAGCTGCTGTGACTGCAACACTGCTGTGGATTCATGGCTGTCTCTGTGCGGTCCCAAAGGTGACAATAAATGAGGGACCACTCCCTGTCTAGTGGGCATTCTAAGGGAGCCCTCCCTCTGCACCACAGCGTTTCCTGAGCAGTCAGCAGGTGCTGAACATATCAGTGGTGCTTGTGGGTGGCTGATAACCCAGGTAGAGCAATGAGCCAAGTTGCAGGGTTCTGCCCAGTGACACTGGGTAAGCTGGTATTGTTTGCAGCACGCCTTTCAAAGGGCAGGCTTTGAAGGGCTAGGCATCCCTTGGCATCAGGGAAAGCCTGGCTGAGGGTAGGGTGATGAGTGCCTTGCTGTGAGGTTGATGCTTGCCCTGTAGTTTGGAAGAGACTGGGGTATCACAACCCCCAGTACCAATACAGGCTGGGGTATGAAGGGATGGAGAGCAGCCCCATGGAGAAGGACTTGGGGGTACTGGTGGATGAAAAGTTGGACATGAGCCAACAATGTGCACTCGCAGCCCCGAAGGCCAACCATATCCTTGGGCTGCACCCAAAGCAGCATGGCCAGCAGGTCAAGTGAGGGGATTCTGACCCTCTACTCCACTCTGGTGAGATCCCACCTGCAGTGCTGCATCCAGCTCTGGAGCCCTCAGCACAGGAAAGACATGGACCTGTTGGAGCGGAGCCAGAGGAGGGCCACAAAAATGATCAGAGGGCTGGAGCACCTCTCCTCGGAGGGCAGGCTGACGGAGCTTGGGGTGTTCAGCCTGGAGAAGAGAAGGCTCCAGGGATATCTTATTGCAGCCTGCCAGTACTTAAAGGGGGCTTAGAAGAAAGATGGGGACAGATTTTTTAGCAGGGCTTGTAGTGATAGGACAAGGAGTAATGGTTTTAAACTAAAAGGGGGTAGATTTAGACTAGATCTAAGGAAGAAATTTTTCAACATGAGTTTGGTGAAACACTGGCCCAGGTTGCCCAGAGAGGTGGTAGATGCCCCATCCCTGGGAACATTCCAAGTCAAGTTGGATGGGGCTCTGAGCAGCCTGATCTAGTTGAAGATGTCCCTGCTCATTGCAGGGGGATTGGACTAGATGACTTTTGAAGGTCCCTTCCAATCCAAACTATTCTATGATTCCATGCTATGAGAAAGTCAGTCCTCGGAGCACAGATGTCAAGCTGGAGCTTCTTGTTAAAACCCCATTCTCTTGTGCCTGCTAAGTAGTTGGCTTTGGAACAGGATCCCAAGCTGTGTGTGCCAGTGGTTCTCAAAACACTCTGGACGTGTTCTGGCTGCACGTCGGTTGCACCTCAGTTGCTGTGGCTCATCTCAATGAGGAAACATTTCTCTTGGGCAAAGTGCCGAGAATACAGGATTTTTCCCTTAAAACCTGTCCCTCCTTGAGTCTCGTTTGTCTGTCTGTGAGACACTGCCCTGCTTTCTCACAGGGCAAGGGGCTGCATGCTGCAACCAGATATGGGATGCTGGAACACCACAGCAAGGGAGGCCGAGGGAGGCCAAGGGAGGCTGGCACAGTGCAGCTCTCCTGCCCTGTGCCAGCTGCCAAGAAGTGTAACACTGGGCACCTGTCCTTCAGCTCTGCTGTGACAATGGGCCAGTGCATGGGCACCAATCAGTGAGTGATAAGAATGGATGTCTGTCCTCAACCCCTAGCAGCAGAACTGCTGGCAGCTCCTATAGGGTCTTTGTAAGGATTTGACTTAGACTAATAGCTGCAGTTAGGTGACTTTAGCTTGGAGCTTGAGGAGCTTGTGTAGCAGTATGGGGTTTGACATGGAGCCGTTCTTTTTTAAACTGGCCATACCTCATATGGTGTCTCCATAGTGGGAGGACTATTGCATGCTTTAATGTAAGCAGAAGCTGTCTGTCCTGAGCAAGGTGCAGGATTTATCACCCAGGGCAGCTCACTGGGACTGATGAGAAGTTTGGAGAGGACTCAGAAGAGCTCAGTGTGTTTGTCCTGTCTATTTGAAAATGGGTGGATAAGCAGAGGGATGGACTACGTGCAAGGGAACAAAAGAGAAGATGGGGGATGGACGTGTTCACCTCCTCACTCACCCCTTCTTCACCCACACCATCCTGCTGTTCCCTTGCTCCCAGGTGCCATCTCAGTTCAGGATTCCAGCAGCCTGGATTTTGAGGCCAGCCCCCGGCTGCGGCTTGTGGTCCAGGCAGAGACAGCAGCTTCCTTTGGCTTTATGGCCATAAACCTTAACCTGCAAGATGTGAATGACAACTTGCCACGCTTCCAGCTGCAGAACTACGTGGCGTTCATCTGGGAGTCACAGAGCTATGACTCACCAGTCATCCAGGTATCACTGGGGGCACAAACAGGGACATCCAGACCCCTGACCTGCCTCTCTGATGGGGTGAGGTGGTGGTGGGTGGTGTCATGGGCCTGGGACTGGCACCTACAAACAGGTCTTGGAGGGCTGTGGTTTGCAGGGCTCCACACCTGCACTGCTGAATCTCTCATGTGGCATTGCAGGTACTGGCAGATGATCTCGATCAGGGAGCAAATGGGCAAGTGACTTATGCCATCAACCAGTCTCTGCCAATGACAGGCTTGTACCACATTGATCCTCAGACTGGCACTATCACTACTGCTGCCATCCTGGACAGGGAGATCTGGTCCCAGACCCGGTGAGTGGAGCCAGACTAACTTGTTCCACAGATATGAGAGGGGCATAGCTGTGGGGCAGCATCCGCAAGGCTGCAGAGGATACTCTGCTGCTTGGTGCCATGCGAAACTGTCTCAGCCCTGTCTA